CTCCCGATATGACTCTGACTAGACCTTTTGCCTGAGACGGTGTCCTACCAACCCATCTCGCTTATTTCTGATTGACTTCCATAGAGTCCTCTGTTCTCCTATTCTTTCTAATACTTCTTCATTTCTAACCTTCTCTATACACGGTATCCTCATCTTTCGCCTGTAATACCGCATTTCGAACGCTTCTAACCTTTTCTTTTCCGCCACGCCCACCGTTCATGTTTCGCACCCGTACAGCGTCACGCGAACATAGAAATTCCTTTTTTTTATTGAAGGCATTCGACCCTGTTGAACACGTTTTCGGTTTTTAAATTAGAAATTGGGTAATCTTCATGATTCAAGCAGATTGAATTGGGGCTCGAGCGATATGTATCTTTTTGGAAAGCATAAGTCAAGACATTTAGATTATCAATTTTAGCAATAAATGTTGTAATTGATAAAAATAAAAGTTAAGGATAAGTATAATCATTAAATAATGATTTAAAAAACACGAGTCATTGCAAATGAGAATGGCAAAAAATTGGCGTCAATCAAAAAAAGTTCCACTTCTAACGATTTGATTTTGAATTGAAAAATTTCTTTTTTATGCCTTAAAAATTGCAAATAAAAACGGTGATTTTATTTGTTTATATGGGTAGAGTTTTCTTGCTTATGTAAACATGCCATTATTAATATTACTTCCCATTAATGAGCTTAATTTTGTCGAAGGTTATTTTTATTACTTAAACAAATTTGCTAATGATGCAACTATTTATTGCGGTAGTAGGTGTCGGTTGTAATACACCTGTAATAATTGTTTACTTCATAATCATTATTAAAAAAGGTATAAGCTCGTTAGTAAAAATGTCACAGACTTACAATTGGTACATGTCTACATACATATGCGCATGTGAAATAATGATTCTACATATATTCCTACACCTTTGTTTAATCAGGGCACAAAAATGTGATAACTTAAGCTTTCTGTTTATTTATTACGAGAATTTTATAGCCCCTTTGGGTATGTGTGTATGTACATATTTAAGTTAATAACGTATTCCATCATACGAATTTGACACAAAATATATAAAATGCAGAATCATATAAAATTAACCAATCTAAGTTTCTGTTATTTTAAAATTTTTAATTTATTATATTAATAAACATCTAGATAGTGCATTAGTGAATTAATTTTTCAATTACCTAATTTTAACCACTACAGATAACTTAATGAGGCAAGAGCTTAGCGTAGCTTAGTGATAAAGTACTGGTGTATAATAGCAGAGGTCCGGGTTCAATTCCCGGCGAGGGAGTGACAACAGTAACAATTTTTCTTCATTAATTTGAGGTTATCTGCAGTGGATAAAGTTAATTAAAAAAATTAATTTACTAAATGCATTGAATTTAACCCTACCAAAATTCATATTGTCTCATATTTAGACAGTATTTAAAGATTACCAAGAAAAAAGTTAATATAATTAATTAGGTGTGAACATACATGAGAATATGTAATTATGTACTAATTATTAGATTTTAATAGGAACGGATTAAGTTTGCGGTCAGTAATTTATCGAAACTACCAGATGTGGGTCGGGATTTCGATCTTATTTGTACCTTAATAAAGCCCTTGACCCGTTTAAAATATAGCAGAAAATTACGTAAAGTTAATTAAAGTAAAGTAACAAACTTTCGCATTACTGCCAACTTTATTTTTTACGGATGCGTATAGGATTATAAAGTTATGATTGGAAAAAACAATACAAACGAAGTGAGTGCTTTTGTGATAATTTCCATCAGTATTGTACGAAAATAAATAAAAGTAAAACAAAAATACTGGTATGCAAGGAAAGAAAAAGTAAGGGAAAGAGCGAATCTAAAGATAGGAGACAAAAAATTGAAAGAAGTGGCTGATTTTAGGTTAGGTTAGGTTTCAGATAAGTCAGGACCGAAGGAGTAATAGGGATATAAATCAGAGGGTAGCGCAGGGCCGAGTCGCCTTCAGTAAGAAGAAGTCACTTCTATGCTTGCGAACGATTAATTTATAAATTCGAAAAAGATTGTAAAAGGTGTTGTTTGGAGCGAGGTGCTGTACGGGTGTGAAACATAGACGGTGGGCTCGGAGGAAAAGAAAAGGTTAGAAGCGTTCGAAATGTGGTATTATAGACGAATAATGAGGATAACGTGGATAGAGAAGGATAGAAATGAAAAGGTATTAGAAAGAATAGGAGAACAGAGGACTCTATAGAAGTTAGTCAATAAAAAATAGGCGAGATAGGTTGGTAGGACACCTTCTCAGGCATGAAGGTCTAGTCAGAGACATATTAGAGGCAAAAGCAGGAGTTAGGAGGGGTAGAGGTAGACCTAGATTAGATTACTGTTCGCAAATAGTTAAGAATGTGGGATGTTTTAATTTTAGGGTCCAAGATTAGTTCAGAATAGGAAGGAGTGGAGGTTCGTATCCAACCAGTCTAAGGACTGACGACCTTATGACATTTATGACATCCACCTGTCACCTGTCCGGCCATATTTAATTTAACCTACAAAATTTTTAGTAAAATGATCATAATTATTCAATTTTAAAAATTCTAATTACAATGTTACCTGAACAGCAAGATTCTATAAACGGCGAAAAAGATGGGAGACCCCGATTAAAAAATAGAACTGCATTGTTGTGTAACAGAGTGGTTTGCACCCGGCTGGTATGGAGTCATTTAATTTTACAATAATTATAGGCGAAAATATAATTGAAAACGCAATTATACGACTAAAGTTAACAGAAGTCAATTTAAGAAGACGAAAACCGTCTCAGTCTCTCTGAGAATGGTACCTTCGGTCGTAAAGAGATTTAATATGAGAGCTAGGTTACGTCAACCGGTATATGAACAAATTGTAGGGTAACGTTTCCAAATAATACAGATGGGCATTATGTTTCTAAGTAGAAGACAGCAGGCTTGGGACAAGAAGTACCTACATGCAGAGGGTGAAAGTACCCTATCGTTTTAAATTATGTTATCTTAATCGTTACAGAAATGAGGAGTTCGGTATACTTAACTGAATTCCTCATGGGTAGACTATGAAATATTGATAGCAAATAAACTTCAAGGATATTGCGATTATCAAATTTCCCGCTCTTTCCAAATTGCTGAGGTCAAAAATATGTATTTCCATTAAAGAAGTACTTGATCCACAAATGAAGATGAACTTTTTCCGAAGTAACGAAATATGATAACCAATTAAGATATTTCATGTTTTTTGTAATATTTTTGTCGACTTTACCCTTGTTCGTCATCTTTTTTATTCTAACTGGTGATGAGCAAACACAAGACCAAGGGAAGGTCAATATTAGCCTTTCTGGTCCTGCTTTTAGACAAAACGTCATGGTCTTGTCTTGTTCTTCAAGACGAATGTTTCAGAAATGAATATAAAATAATTTTCTTTTCAATCGGCCAAATTTGATTATTTAGGAACACGCCGCGATGTCACAATATAGTTACACTTTCAGAACAGTTTGAACATGATAAATGTAAATAGGCGAGCTATTAAAAAAATATCTAATTTCACACAAAATACAACTTTTGGGGCACCCAGTACGTCTGTTGCTTATTCAAGATTACCCTATTATTATTATAATTTACATTCTAATGAAGAATATTGCTATATAATTTTCACTGAGTCATTTCATTATATTTAGCAACTGTATTAGAATTTAGGTGAGAATTATGCGTGAATCTTGCTATATGCCTTGCTCCAGGTCTTCTGGTCTTGCTAAATTTCAAAACCAATACAAGGCAACGCAAAAATGTGAGACCAAGACTGTTTTGCTCGTCACTAGTAGGAAATTCAAATAAGTATAGCAAGGTCTACATTTATGTACACAACATAGATGACATAATTTAAAGAAAAAATAGGGTGCTCTCATCTTCTGTCTTTACCCCCTGAGCTTAGGGGGCTGTTTGCCTGCGAAGAAACGTAATATCCCCTCATTATCCGAACATGTCACCGTAAAATTTGTCCATTTTCTGGATGACGTTGAAATCTCGCATCTTATGAGAGTGGACTTCAGGGGTGCGTTCAGAATTATAACCCAGCATACTGGCCATTGCTGATAACGTCATCAATTGACGCCATACTGTTTATTCGTTCCGAAATACAGTGGCCAGTGCGTTCACGTCAAATTGACGCCATATTGAGAATAGTCTTTGTACTCGTTTACAATAATTTTGCTCCGAAAGTTATTAAACTTTCTTGTAATAGAAAATTCCTCAAGGTTTGATGCAAACACGCCCGTTTGATATACTACTACGTCACGCTTGTCTCACCACTACAATATGGTGGCACACCAGTACAATATGGCGTCAATTCATAACGTCATCAGCACTGGCCAGTATACTGGATTATATTTCGGAACATACCCGTTGTTCACGTAAAAAAAGTTCCGTCGAAAATTATATAATCTCAGATTCTTCTCATCTAGTAATATTTGCAGTGTATTTCAAATGCTTGAAAGGGCTTAAAAAATGTATCTATTTGACAAACTAAATCTACTTCGTAGAGTATGTAAGTGACAGACAAGTAGACGAAGATTACCCCATACAGGCAGTCAGGCGGGCAGACAAAGAGACAGACAGACACAGACAGAAACAGACAGATACAGACAGATACAGACAGATACAGACAGATATAGACAAACATAGACAAACATAGACAGACACAGACAGACATAGACAGACACAGACAGACATAGACAGACACAGACCGACGCAGACAGACAATGACTGACGCAGAAAGATACGTAGAGACACTGACAGACACATACAGTCAGGCAGGCAGACAGACAAAAACCTTTTTAAGGGTCAATTGTACATATTTTAATGGCATAGAAATAACCAAATGAGCTTAAAGGAGGTAGTTATGCATTTCGATATTGTCCACACTTTTATTTAAACATGTGTATACATTCACGTATGTAGGTAGGTATGTATAAATGAATGGACGTATAGATTAGTTTTGGAAGCACATACCTGATTAATAAATAATTGTTTAATCTTCCATAACATACAATGGCACTAAGTGAACTAATTAGTTACTTAGTACAAACAGTTGATATCAATAAAAATCTACTTTTTATCAGTGAAAATTACACTAGTGACAATTATCGATAAACAATATCAATTATAACTGTTTTAAGAACACTTTACATCAATGGACACGTAACGATAATTTGATTTGGTTTTTTCATGTTTTATTTGTTAAAATCTTTTTTTTTTTGGTCGATTCTTTATTAAAGATTTTTTTTATTTACTTTAGAATTTTGAATGGAGAATTAATTGTAAAACGTTTTCGTAAATGATTGATCTTAGCCGAAATAGTAGTTGCTTGACCCTTTCTTGCATTCATTTGTGCAACATAGGTATGAGTTTTTCTGTTTTAAAATATTATTCTTTAACGACAAACTCATCTCCCTGTAATGAAACGTAAGTCAAAATAAGAACGTCATTATGTGTATGGCAATTCAGGATTTCCCCACAGGTACCTCGAAAATTGTAGCCATCCTGGCAAATTATCCTAAACAACACCATATGTTTCAGTATGTTGTAGATCACTTTTAAATGTTATCATTCCGTATTTATATTTAAAAAAAATCCAAAGTGATTCTTATAGGCTGCAGAAAATGTTTAAATCGATTTATATACTTATTTGTAGATATAGAGATTTTTTCCTTTCAGTTCTTTTTTTTTATTTCAGATGGGAAACCCACTCAACTCAATCTTGTGGCTTATTGTCTTAATTTTCATATCATTCTTTGTTGCTGGATTTTGCGCAGGATGGTATATACTTCTGTATCCTATTACAGTTTGTATAAGTGGTTTATCGGTAAGTCTGTAATAAGTCACAAAAAAGGAATACCTAACTGGTAAACAGATATACTAATGTCACAAAGGGTGGTGTACTATAGTAATATATAAACATCTACTATCCGGTTTCCTTTGTTTCCACCTTAAATGCCGGCGTTTTCTGCAGGCGGTCATAAATCAACTATTTATTCTTATTCTTATCGTGTATAAGAGCACTTACGGTTGGTAAGTTTTAATCCAAGCCTAAGTGCCGCCTCAACGTAAAGGGTTGAATATGTCAGCATTTATTTATTGAAATACTAACCAAATGAATTATTTTGATTAAAATAGGATTTTCAGAAAAAGTGGAACATTATAAACCAATGTACTCTTTTTTTTATTCTAATTAGCTCATAATTATTTCATTTTTAGGGTCTTACGGATTTCCTATTAAAAGGGATACAATTTCCACATTACTGTGCAGATGCGATGATGTCCGGGTCCCCTTTATTTTAGATAGAAGTGGTTATATCTCTATATAAATATTTCTGCCTAATAATAACAAATTACATTTGTACAGTGTTAAGCAAAAAAGGAAACGGCCACAAGCATATTCTAACTTATAAAAAGAGCTCGAAGATTTTTAGGAAAAGTATAAATTCTTTAACTTTTTTGTTGAGCACTGTGCACTTTAGATTAAACTTTTATAAATTCGTCACTAACTGTAAGTAACTCAATTGTGTTCATTTATTACTGGGAATATGAAATGTCAACATAACGTACCTGTGAATATTACTTCTATTAATAATAAGGAAAAACTAATGGTTTATGACAGTAAATATTTATTTACATAAAAATGATTTGTTATACATAAATACCTATACGTACATTATTTATAATAAAATTGTCATCTACAGTATGCATTATATTTATAAATAAATAATACAAAAATACGGTTGTTTCTTTTCGAAATAAATTGCAAAATATGCCACATTCATCATCAAGTCTTTAGCCCGAAGATTAATTAGACACAATTCGACTTCTTCCTATCTTGAATCAATCCTTACATTTCTCGAAAGCTGGAGCACCCTACATCTCCAACTATTTGCGAGCAGTAAACTAATCTACCTCTCTTGACTCCTGTTTCTGCTTCTAAAATGTCTCTCTTCTAACCCTAACTAACCCTTCGTGTCTGAAAATGTGCCTGCCTAACTTCGGCTATTTCTTATCGACTTCTACAACCCCCTCTGCTATCCTATTCTTCCTAATACCTCCTGATTTCTAATCTAATCTAACCTAACCTAACATCACATGTTAATATTTCTAACTCTTTGTTTTATAACTCTTTCTATCTCGAATTATCTGACACCCCAAATATCGAAAAATCAGGGACCTCTTCTAGCTCTTCGTCTCCTATTTTTGTATTAATTCTAACCCTACTTTTACATTCCTTGCATACCACAATTTTTGTTTCATTTTTATTAATTTTCATGTCAATACTGCTTCTATTTTATTTAAACCTATCTCTGTACTCCTCCTTGCTACTGTTAATAAATCATTTACAAATTTAGGATGCTAATATTTATCCCTGTGTATTCATCCCTTTGGTAGTTTTAAAAAAATATCAAAAAATGTACAGTCAATGAAAGAACGGCTTACATGCAGAAGCGATGAAAGTTTTCGAAAATCCTCCGGTGTAGTGGTAAGTATACTACTCAACTTTGTTTTTCACTTTAGGACTCCAGTGATCGTATTTTTTTTAAATACTAGATCTCCTAAAATTCGATAATGAATTTTAAATGATCTTTTAATTTTTGCCCTTCAACCACGAAATATTTGCTTTAAAAGTCGTCATCAGAACAGCTCCTCTCTTGAATGTCTAAAGTATCGATGAAAAAACATTTGAGAAAGCTATTGAATATTGGAGTATTTTCGTGAAAAATTTCCGAGATAATTTCTGAATTTTAATTGAAAAGTTAATTAATATTGTAATAATAAATTCAAAAGTAATTAGTTGCGATATTAAGCAAAAATGCTAACTTTAAAACCGTATAGGTATGACAAGATTTTCTTAAACCTGACTAAGATTAAACCCATAGCATAAACTGTTTGCCTTCCATTTGAAATAAAACCTAGAGGGTCATCAAATAGGTGAAACAAAGCTCGACTTCAGTGTGAAATTTTTAATCCAGAACAGTAATTTCTTTAGAAATATCAATTTTCTATTTTTTGACATGCCAATGTTGACGTCAAAATTCAATGAAGTTTTTTCATTTACATTAATATATTATGTATTTATTCAGTGTTAAGTAGAATTTATCGACACTTCGGAACTATAAAATCCAAATAAAATATGATAAACTATTAAGGTATAATTAATTTTTAGTTCTTATCAAAATAGTGTGTCTGTAGGTACTGATAACAATAAAAAATAATGGGAGGTGACCAAAAAATTATACATTTAGTTAAATTTTAATTGCACCACGCTCCTATTAATGTACTTAAATTACTTTCAGGTAATTTCAAATGAGAAATGGTATAAATGCAGTGCTGTGGTGCCTAATTATGATTATATTTTCGTACGTGATAGCCATTATTTCTGGAATCGCATACGTGTTTGCAACGTGTCTACATCCTTTCTATCCTAGTTTAACAGTACGTTTATATAAATAAGGGATAAAAGTGCAATTGACACCTTCCGCGAAGTTAGCTTTAAATATATTGCAATGCTGCCAACATAACCAGAGACCATGGAATAAAGTAGGCAACGGCTATGCTGACTATTAAACCAAAGTCTTTGTGCTGTCTTTTCCTATGGTAACTTTATTAGTTTAATCACTCCGTCAAAAGATTAAGGATTATGTTGGCATCCTTGCGAATGGTTGTTATCCGGATGTCTTGGATATCGTCCCAAGACAGCTTTTACTAAAAACTTGTTTTCGGAAATTGATAAAAGCTTTCGCATCAATGCGAAAGGTTACTATTTAGCGGAGCTGTTCGGGTACCTATCCGGATGTCTTTGATACCGCCGCAAGACAGCATTTTCGAAGAACCTTTTATTGGAAATGTCCCAATTATCAAAAACTACATCAAGTAAAGACAAGGATCAATTTTGTGATCCTTGCACCAAAGAGAGTTTAATATTTTAAATCTAGATATAATGACGAATCGATAAAGACTTTCGCGGTCAATTGCGTCCTGGCGTTTCGCTAGCACGAGTGGCGATCTTCAGAGGTCCTTCCTTCTTCGATCCTGGATGTATAGCAACTCCAGACCCAAATCAGGACGCATCAGTTTGGATATAGTGTTCATAGATATTCTGCAGCCGAAATTTTAAACGTTTCAAAATAAATACAACGGACAGATCACTGGGAGGAGTATTATTTTATTAGACCCTTGAATGTATTTTTCAGTAATTTTATTTTATGCATTTAATATCATATTTAGTACAAAAACTCCCAAATAGAATATTAGATCATTAAGGGTGGGCTTTAAATTCCGTCCAATGTAAAATTTTTATGATCCTGTTGAAGTGTCGAGTAATATCATCCCATTAAACGGGAATTATTCTTAAGATGAACTGAAAATTTTTTGTAAAAATCATTTCTCTATACATCTACCGTAGACAAAGTAAGGTGTGACACAGGACGTTTGCTTTTAATAGGAATGCAGGTGGATTCTTTTAGAAGGGCTCAATTTCCCTCAGTTTTGTGCAATGAAGATGATGAACGAAGATCCCGTCTGTTTTGACGACGAATCCTGTTCGGAAATAAGCACCAGCACGAAAACTGCGTCGAATATCTCATCCTGTGGGGAAATTGTAAGTTTTTCGTTCTAAAGCTCTAAGGCGCTGCATTATAAATTTATTATGATCGGAAAGACCAATTTGAGTTTAGAAAAAATAGAGGAACGCGGAAGGTTTAGCTTTACGGGTAACAATAGAGAAAACGACAGAAAAAGGAAAGAGTGCCTACATAGGATTTGTAGATTTAGAAAAAGTTTTGACAATGTTAAATGGGACGAGATGTTAAATATACTTAAAAAGGTAAAGATGAGTTATAGAAATAGAAGAGTGATGCTTAGTATAAAGAGCAGCAGGCAGTTATAGAGCTGGGGCTGTAACATAGAGAAGTAAATATTAGGAAGGGAGTCAAACAGAGATGCACACTGACAATGCTACCTTTTAATCTATACATCGAAGACGCGATCATCATTAAAAACAGTACAACTGTAGCGATAGATATACATGGGCAAAAGATTAGTATGCTTAGATTAGCAGACGATATAATAGTAATAGCATCTAGCAGGGAGGTGTTAGAGATAGCTTTAAATAAAATGGAAGCGATGTTGACAAGACAGTAGTGTATGAAAATTAATAAAAGTAAAACAAAAATACTGGCATGCAGGGGAAGAAAAGTAGGGAAAGAGCGAATATAGAAGATAGGAGAAGAAAAATTAGAAGAAGTAGCTGATTTTAGGAAGTCAGATAAGTCAAGATGGAAGGAGTAGTAGGGATATAAAGCAAAGGATAGCGCAGGGTCGCCATCAATAAAAAGGGGTCACTTTTATGCTAGTGAACGGTTACTTTAGAAATTCGAAAAATATTGTTAAAGGTATTTGTTTAGAGCGCGGTGCTATGCGGGTACAAAAGATCGGTGGAAGCTGCGGAAAAAAAAGATTAGAAGCGTTCGAACTATGGTATTACAGGCAAATGATGAGGATATCGTGGATAGAGAAGGTTAAAAATGAAGAGATATTAGAAAGAGAGGACTCTATGGAAGTCTATAAGAAATAGGCGAGATAGGTTAGTAGGACACCTTCTCAGGCATGAAGGTCTAGTCAGAGACATATTAGAGGCGGAAACGGGAGGAGGTAGACCTAGATTAGATTACTGTTCACAAATAGTTAAAGATGTGGGATGTTCTAGTTTTAGGAAAATGCGAAGATTAGCTCAGGTAAAATTACAAATTAAAATTATTTTAGAAAAAAGAAAACCCTGTGCAGCTTTGTTGAAAGAACTGACGTTGCTAAGAATACAAGTACTAAGTAAAATTGAAGTAGGGCGTCGTGAAGAAAGAAAATCTACANCTACATATATATATATATATATAATAGGTATACTTTGTATAATAAATTTTCTTTTACCTGCTTCGTAATATATTATTCTACTTTTTTGTTTATTTCAGTCTTTTAATAATCAGTATACGACCTGCTTTTATGATGATGAAAGAATGCGTTCGAACATAAGCAAGATATGTTGTTTTTTGTGGCACGTCAAGGACAAAGGCTGTAAAGCAATGCTAGGGACGCGAAATTATTTTTTTTTATTAGGTTAAAAAATGACTGTTTAAATGCCTCTTTAATTCCAAATTTAACATCGAAGCGGGGAATTAATTATTTAATTAAAAAATATTTTCGGATATTTATATTCATATACTACAGAAAATTACAGGTATTATAGAAGACGTAAGAGGTCATTTTTACATTAATAATCATTTTTTGTTGTTTTTTGAGTAAAAGCATTACTGAAAAATATACATTTATCACTTCTATGAACGAAGCCAATTTTCAATTTTCTATTTTTTTTACAATTGTAAAATTCAATGACGTATTTCCATAAGTTAAATAATAATGACATAATGTCAAGTTTCATATGAGACCTATTTAATATTTTTTATACAATACGTTTCAGTTTTTTACAAGTACTTTTAAATAAGCAAATAATGGGTTTTACGTAATAAAATTCGCCTATAAAACTTTCTGATACATCAGGTAAATCAAAGTTATTGTAGATATTTTTTAATTAACGTCAACTGCCTTCTGATCTGTTTCAGTAGATGGGATTTAAAGTCCACTGGTGCATTTTTTGGTTTCTACTTTTAATTACTGTTGCATTCCCAATTGCTTTTCTGTGTATGCCCCTGTATATTATATTTTCCATTTTTGCACCTTGTTTTGAAGTTTGCGAGGTAAGACAAACAATATTCGTATGAAAGAGCAGAAAAGTATAACTACAGCTGGTTTAGTAGTTGCATCAACATTACCAAAGGATGCAGACCAAATTATGAACCAAAAAGAGATTATGAAATGAATTTATTATTTGGTGTCGTTTGTGTACCTCACGCGATATAAACTATAAAGATCCATCCTGAATAGACATTACACTTTAAACATAAGGAATTAGGGATCAAAATCATAGTCCACTCTACTATCAAAACCTTATTTATCTGTATAAAGTTGTCTCAAAATAGAAAGTGAGGTTAGAATACTACCCTTTTTTGCTTATATTTCTCAAAAAACTGTTAATTATTGATCGCAAAAAGAAGAATAATAATTCTTAACAGTTGCTGTAAATTTACAATTAATTTAGTTGATGATGTGTATTTTTGGGAACAATTTTAACACCTAAAATTTAAGGTTATGTTTCTCGTAATATTGTATATCTTCATTCTGAACAGAATAGCACGTCTTTCCATGAGGTGCAAATAAAGTTTAATTTTAATTCCGAAACTTCAAAGTTTAATGTCTATTGTGGATTAACTTTTACTCAAAAGGCGCCTTAAAAGTGTATCTAACGAACGCGTTATTCGATAAAGTGTATTTTATTTTTAGGATTTTGTCGAAGTTTTACTTTTTGGTGTACAATTTCCGATGTATTGCTCGGAAAGTATGGTGTGTGGGGATCCATCTTGTTGTAATAGAAAATGCTGTTACTAATATTGGCAAACGAATAATAAATAATTTAAAGTATAAATTGTATTTTCTTTATTCAAGCGATGAATTTAACCCAACTCGTTGGATGTGCTGTTACTCGGATTTTACCAAGCACTACAACTACACTCCACATTGCGCCAAACAATCTCCCACTTTCAAGCTAAATGGGAAATTGGTGTAACACGTGGTCTCTTATATTTTCTGGGATGATTTTTCAATTTTTTCCTTCGGTATCTTCATAACTGTTCCAAATTAATTTGAAGTGAAACTTCTATATAGACGGGGTATTACGATTTTTTCTGTCACGACAAAGCGTTAAGGCCGCGTGGAGGGGATAGACGGTATATCGCGTGGTGAGATGCAGCAGCTGCGGCTCTATTAGATGGATATAATGCGCAGCCGCGCGGAGAGCGAGGAATCCGTTAGAGTCCCGGCGGCGTGTGCTGTGCTCAGCACGGGAAATAAGCGGCCAGCCAAGAAGGACAGAATGATCTTCGTAATTCTTGAATTGATTTAGACCGTTACAAGTTTGTGGAAAAGACCCTCAAGCCAGACTTTATCAAATGCCTTTGATATATCTAGGAATGTGTCCTTATGTTGGAAAACAACAAGATGATAATTTTTCTAACCAAAATATGTCAGAAGATTTGTCAGTTTGATTAGATTCGTGTTAGAAATTTTGTATTTTATTTCTTAAATTAATGAAATTTATTGAAAAAAACAATGGAAAATACATTATCCCTTATACAATATACATCCATAAGCTAAGTACAAACGGACTATTTTCCAGGGAACGAATTAAGAAATAAATTTATTGCGGCAGGAATTTTTAGAATATGTGCTGCTCTGAGGTAAAAGCTTATAATTATTGTATTTTACGTCAACTTAATCATTCGTCCATCTTATTATTTATTAGGTGGTGACGTGTCATCGATGGCGCACGAGTGTGTCCACACAAACATTTTAGAACAAAATTACACGTTAGAGTTAATTTTCATATTTTAGAGCCCTCGCGCACTACGTACGTTAGCGACAAAGATCTCGCCCAAGAAGACTAAAAATAGAGCAAATACTTATACCCGAAGTAAATGGGTCTGAAAATCGTTATGACTAATAAAAGATAGAAGAGACGAGAGTCCGCTGCGCAATGAGCCACCGCGCATCAATTTCGATATTATCAGTACAACGCCTACGCGTCAAATCCGATGCGCACTGTCTTACTGCGCAACGAACTGTAGTCTTCTTGATTATGTACAATAAAGCGGTCATTTCCTGATGATAGAAATAACAGGTTCGTGGTCCGCGGGGGCTCTTGCTCGGTACATCACTTGAATCGCCGCTGTATTTATTGATGTTTTTAATCACTTTCTCTTTGTCTTACATGTAATTAATTTAATAACTTTTAGTGCGGCTTTGTATGGTGTTTGGTTTGGTTTATTATCCTCCTTCTCTCATTCCCAATTGCTATAGTTGCAGCACCTTTCTACATCATTTGCTCTCCATTTGCAGTTTGCTTGGACATTTGTGCGGTATGATACTTGTACTTATTTAGAAGGTGAACCGAAAATATCATAAAATCACTAAATTTTAAGAAATGTTTACTTTTTTCATTATATGATAAAATAAACTTCTTAAAACCAAAAGAAAAAAAAAGAAAGTCTATCAGTTGGTAGCTCATAGTTCGTTTGTATTCCGTATAATAACTCTGTTAATGACCATTTTCATCAACCAAAATTATGTTTTTTTATTATCCATTAAACAACCAATTAGAATTCTCTGTCCATTTAATTTCCCTGTAGTTGTACTTTAACTTTTGATGATTTTTTGAAAAATAAGATATAATAAACGTAATAAAATGAGTCAATAAGTTAATTATAGAATAACACTGCATTTCTACGTAAATTCGGAGCAATTTCTAATTTGCATGTATAATTAATTAATTTATGGTTACAAGTGGACATACAATTTTTCTCTTTCAGGATTTGTCAGACATACTACTGTTTGGCATACAATTTCCCCTTTTTTCCGCAGACCGGATGGTTTGTTGTCAACCGATAAATGTTAAAATTGAAAGGTGTTGTGATCAAGGTAACACTGCGGTAGATAAACAATCCGATTGTGAAAATATTTCTGAAGTACAACACTGTTACTGACTTCACTTATTAGCTTTAAAAATTGTAACATTTTAAATTTAATAAAAATGATAGTACTTAAGAGAGTTTAGTTATTTGTTTATTGGCGACTTCGGCCGAGATATCGTCGAAGGTCCTAAGTCAGGTTGGACACGCATCTCCACTCTTTCCTAGCATTTCCTTAAGACTAGAACATCCCACATCTTTAACTATTTGCTAATAGTAATCTAATCTAGGTCTATCACTACTCCTCTTAACTCTTGTTTCTGCTTCTAGTACGTCTCTGACTAGATCATCATGCCTGAGAAGGTGTCCTACCAACCTATCTCGCCTACTTCTTATTGACTTCCATAGAGTCCTCTGTTCTTCTATTCTACCGAATACTTCTTCATTTCTAACCTTTTCTATCCACGATCCTCATTATTGGCCGATAACACCACATTTCGAACGCTGCTACCCTTTTCTTTTCCGTCACGCCCGCAGACGATGTTTCGCTCCCATCAAGCGCCACGCTCCAAACATACACCTTTAACAAATTTTCCGGATTTCTAAATTAACCGTTCGCGCAAGAAATGACTTCTTTTTATTGAAAGCTATCCTCTACTACTACTCCTTCCGTCCTGACTTATCTCACATCTTAGATGCCTAAGATTAGCCACAGTAGTATACCACAGATAATTTCGCACTTCTTTACTGTCTTTATTTCGTCTGTCTCATCTTTATCTTCTTCATCACCACTTACTCATTCTCACTATTCCCAGAAGGAGACTAAACAGAGTTTACTACTTTGTATTCCTGTTCTGGGAGTTTGTTCTAGAATGTTGACTGGAGGGTCAACCCACTCATCATTTATACAAAGTTGTATGTACGACACTGTGTCTTATATTGATTTCGATTTCAAAGTGCTGCCAACATTATTTTTTTAAAAGATGTGGTTAGGGTAATAAGAGTATATATGATAGCTATAGATAAACAGGAGAAGTAAGTAGAAAATACTACAAATAGCGAAGTAAACGCCATCTGTAGTACGATGCTACATTTTAGGATTACGTATGCTCCAACAAGGTCCACTTGTGTGGATATCTACTTGCTGAAAACGAATCCCGGCGTAGCCAACCTCAACGTGATAAGCACGTTAGCTTAATCGAATAAAATAATTCGAAGTGGTCTGTATTCTGTCGAAACTGGCAGACGCGGATCGCGATTTCGATCTTTTTGGATCTCATCAGCGCGTCGTCGTCGTACAAATATGTAGTATATTCTAAAACGCACTGTTAAGACAGCAGGTAAAAGTTGGTCTGTGTTTTGTCGAAGCTGGCTGCGCCGCGCTGATGAGATCCAAAAAGATCGAAATCGCGATCCGCGTCTGGCAGTTTCGACAGAATACACACCACTTCGAATTATTTTATGAGAAGTGTTGTCATAGTAATGATTTTCTTTTTATCTGATAATCAAAATGGCATGATGACTACTCTACGCACTTGGAACATTTACGTTATTTTGGCAGCAATTCAATATTAATGTGGGGGAAGTCGTAAACTCCACTTTTACCACTGGTGGTAATGAAAACGGAAATGGTTTTTTTGAAACATTTGCCGAGATATACAATAGTTTTTGAGTAACTTTTAAATTCATTTACATCGCACAGTAAATATTTATTCAACCATTCATTTTTTTAAGCACTTATTTATAGTTTTTTAAATGTCACTTTATGATGTTTTTAGCCATTTGCTTAATCAACTTTTTTATTTGATTCATTAGTACTGTTGACTCTATTTATATGAAGTAAGTAATTTAAACTAAACGAAGGATAACTTTATCAGCTGATATGGACTTACTGAATTATCGAAACTTTTTCTTCACTAAAGTGGTCATTATCAAACGAACATTTTAAAGAAATACGTAGACATATGGAACTTTCCAATATTCAAAACTTATTCTTGTAGGTGTATCATAGCATCTTAAGGAAAGGTAAGAACAACGAAGCGATATTTGTGCATATCTTCTTATTGTTAATAGTCTTTATGCGACATCCATGTTCACGATTTCGAAAAAAAAGCGAGATAGATATGTGGTGCCTATAAATAGTAAAAAGTGTTTATTATGTTTCTTCGTTTTAGTAATTCGTAATAAAATAAAATATGAACAAAATATTAACAATTACTGCCATTTACATTATTTTTAATAATTAATAAAAAAATAAAAATAATGGTAAATGTCAAGATGATGGCTGGGATCGAAAGAGGAGGTCTCCCCCACCACTGTACCATAAAAAGTTCGTGGCGGAGATTGTTTATTCCAAGGAGGTTTCTGATGCATTCGAGAAATGTTCTTTATATTAATGGACCCACATAAAGATTTTGTAATTGTGATAAAAGATAGTCGTGTTATGTGTCTAAAGTAGCCGAATTGTGTAGTGAAGTGTAACAAGGGGCTGGTGCATATATGTTTCTTAATATCTCATCGTATGTCATATGGAATGCGAGATTCTTTGGTGAGATTCTATAATTTAACTTGAAGAAAAATAGAAGACATTAAAGTTTATTGAGTCGCAAAATAAAGACGTCTTGTTAATGATACGCTGCAAAAATATGGCGANCTCAATATTTTTATGTATTTTTCATTGGTTTTACCTTTGAATATTGTTTAAGAATGACTATATAAATATTTACATGCCTAGAAATGTATAAAAATTGGCATATTTATTAACTTTGAACCCCCATAACTTTTAATGGGGGTGAGACCGCCACGAACTTTTTATGGTACAGTGGTGGGGGAGACCTCCTATTTCGATCCCCCCACCATTATCTAGACCTTTACCAAAATAATATGTCACCTTTAACACCCTGCATCTTTTCTCACTGCAGTATTTTATTAAGGCATGGTTAGTCCAAACTTCATATTTTGGTCCAAATAACCTGCTCAATAGTTATGACTCACCCTGTATACATAGATTAAAAAATTAAGAGGGTTTTTCATGTGAATTATCTATTGAACAAATTAAAATTTAACCATAAATTTTATGACGTTAGAATGTTGTATAATTTTTTTAAATTTATATATACATTGAGACTATCTACCATATGGTTCTATAGTAGCCATTTTTATTTTATGACCTCCTGCCTACTTCAACGTGGGCTTTTAATCATATTTTAGATAAGAAGCCTTTCAGCAGACTTCTTCTCCACTTACAGAGCCATATTGTGCATGGACAGTCTCTTAAGTATGTAATAACACAATAAAGATTTTATTAAAAGTTCCATCTACAGTATATCTAAGATCACTTCTCTCTTTTAAGATGTGTTACTGTTATTTGGATCCTAAAACATCCTATGCCATATGTTGGTTCTTCATTTTGATAACAGTCGCTTTTCCAATTGCATTCATCAGCGCTCCTCTGTATATATTATTTTCACCCTTTAGCGTTTGCTATGATTGCTGTGAGGTACGTATCAAAAATAGATCTTATTGCATACACACACTTGTTTTTGAAGTTACACTTGATGCATAATAACATTAAGGCAGATATTAGGAATGTAATATAGACTAATTTGTAAGTATGCATTTTTGGTGATACCACTCAACAAATATCGTAATCTTTTTCGTTATATATTAACCAATGTAATGACTAACTGAGGGGGGGGGGCACAAGAATCTCAAGGAGGCCTCATGCATCTTCAAAGTCGTTATGTTCCTCATAAATGCTACAGACTTCAGTACTCTAACTACATAAATAAGAATGAAACGCTAGGCCTTTCATGTACTAGACACCTAACTCACTTCGGGGGAAAGAAAGGTTTTGTAAAATGTTATGATGCACTACAGATAGGGGGAGGAGGTTAAAAAGCGTGTTACATAACATTATCTTTTTATTAAATTAAAAATAATGATATTTTTCCAGTATTTTGCGCGACATTTTCAGGTAAATATGGCCATATTTAAGTTAAGGAGAGGGAGGTGTAAAGTCAAACATTACACTGCGCCACAGGGGTTAGAGGGTCAAAAATCGTTAAAGACTGCGTTAACTAATACTTGAACGATTCCTAAGTAGGTAGTTATTGAAGTAGAGTAGAACCTCTATAACCCCAACATCAAGGAGACGCCAAAAAATTCGAGTTATAGAGTTTTCGACTTACGAAGAATTTTGACGGATTTTGATTCGACTTGTTGAGGTTAAGATTTGATGTACTTACATTGTCGGCAAATCCTTAAATTCGATAACTTAGTTTATAAGCTTCAAATTATCGAGTTGTAAAGTTTGTAAAATAAAACATTGCTTTGTTGGAGATACAGAAGTCCAATTTAATTTTTCGAGTAACCTATAGAGGGGAAACATGTACCGAAATGACTTGCAAGGACTCACTGATTATTTCGACTAATAGAGGGTTGAGATTTCGAGTAATGGAGGTTTTGGAGTTTGAAGGGAAAGGGACAAAACATTTTTTCGAGTTTTAGAGGTTCTCAACTTATCTAGGTTCGGTGTAAAGAGGTTCTACTGTATGTGTAATTAATTGCTTTCACAAAAATCGTTATATCTCAATCATATGAAATTCTTTTCTGTCTTTATGTATTTGAAAAGTTTTTAAAAATTTTCTATTTTAAAAAAAGTACTAAATGTGTTGTAGAACGGTTCAGTTTCAGCCCCATTTACTGTCCTTGATCCTGATCATGAACGAAAAGAAACTGAAAATGTCATCTCCTGAATATGATGAAAAGTTTACAGTTAAGCAAAGGATCAGGCAACTCAACCTGTTTAATTTAATATCAATTGCAGTAATGGGAAATTCCGATTTTTTCGGAGAGACGGATTACCGGCTCAGGATCATTTCAAATATTCCAATCAAAAATCTGTTCTTGAATCCTAGTGAATGTTGTAGCCAGATTATATATGCAGCTGTGTCTACACTTAATAGGATTGAGATCGACTTAGATCTGCTGAAACCCGGAAAAAATAATGAGGAACTAAGAAACGTCACAAGCTATTGTCAATTATTTATTCGGGGTTCAAATATAGAATTGCAATTATGTCGAACCCAGTAGATGGATCCCGAATCTTTAGTTTCTTACTTCCAAGAGAACCGGCAATGTAAGAAACATTCGTTGCAACGGTTCTTCGCTTCACGATGCCGGGGATTTTACTGATCCAACTGAGATCCGTAGCCAGCCATTCAAAATTTTCGAAGTAGAATCAGTGAAGTGAATCAGATCTGATCCGGATATCACTAACCGATTGTGAAAGCTTACAAGAAATAGGATACAATATCTACCTACTATTAACTTTGAATTTTTTATATTCAGTGCTGGAAGGAGTAAAAGTTTCATACTATCATTTGCATCTTCCATTTCAAATATATCGTAACAACTATTTTCCACGTTTCTGATTTTTAGGACATTGTAGATTATCTTCTTTGTGGAATCCAGTTACCGTATAGAGCTACAAAAGGAATAGCAACAGGGGAAACTTTTTGCCTTATTGTAAACCCTTGTGATATGGCCTGTTGGAGAGCAGAATTGTGTGAACCACCAACTTACTGTTGCGCGACTCCACCGAAACCGAAGAGAAAGAAGAAATGCTGCTGTGATCCACCAGAACACCGAATTTGTTGTGACGATAATCCAGATCACAGGGCTAGACACTGTCATCACACTAAAACAAATTGTCCGTACTGATAGAACTTATTAAAAGGTATATTTGAAAGAAATACTGTTGATTTGGACGTAAAATATGTATGATATCTATTCAGTTTTTCTACTCCGTCTTTTTTAATCAATGATCAACATACACAATTTTTATCTAAGCGCTTCGGCAGATTTAAATGCAGTTTTTACTACATCATTCAGTAAGCTTAGAAATCTATAAGGTCAGGGTTAAGTAGAGTTCAACAGCTTGGGTTTCTTTCCATAATGACAACGGTTTAAATAGTATACCAAACACTAGTAGATATACTTAGTTTAGTTTCTGTAGCGGTGTGACCTTCAGTTTGACCGGCGCAAAGTAGAAAAGTACAGCACTATGCCAGAAAAGAAAGGAGACAACTCTCGGCCAAACTCTTAACCGTTGAGGAGCGTGTAATCCGTACAGTACTGCACGGAAAAATTGACCATTTTATCCACTACAATTGCATTGCACAAATGTGCTGTTATTGGTACCATTTACTACTGAAAATATCAACGAGATGTTTATTTATATTTGAAGACATATTAAAGGCTTTAACGCTTGTTTTCGACTCGCACTAC